TTGCATATTTTCAAAAATTCGTTCGCAGCTCGGACCTTAACCGCAACCGTATATGTAAATGAACGCAGATTTTTTGAAAGGACCGCTCGAGCAATACTTCTACTTTTTAGTGAACTGGAAATTTGAATTTCAAAAAATTTACATTTGTCATTTTTTCACAAAGTGAGCATTTACTGAAAAAACGACCGGACTTCATGCAAAAAATTGGTAAACATGCATCTGGATGTCCGTGCGGCTCTATAATGCACCACCTTCGTTACAAATGATGCCGTTCTTCCTGCATGCTCTTTCGCGCCCCCGTCACCCCTCTAGGAGCCCCACTCCCCCATCCTCCCACCCACTCCGGGGTTGGTTCCCCGCCTCTCTACCCCAGGAAACTCGTCCTAGATCTACCTATACCGTCCACAAACATAACACCGTCTCCTCCAAGCGATCTAGAGAGGCAATTACTAAAACTCGGCCGAATTGGGAGGCAAGCTGCGACCTCCGTGGTGTGCCTCCTCAAGTGACGTAGGATGAAAGTGGAAGGGATTGGTGGCGATGGTTTGGGTGTCGGAGGTCGTCCTGGAGAGCGGCAGGAGGACGGAGGGAGGGAAGAGGGGCTACTGGGGAAAGGCTGGTATCCTGTCTGAAGTGGGAGGATGAGAGCAACGACTATAAGGGGAGAGAATTGTCTGATTTTTATGCAGAACAACTAAAAGTTACTCACTGAGATCAATGCAAACACAAATCATGCACTACCTTCATCTCAACCGGCGAAATGCTGTGGTAGTTGGAAATGAGGCGTGTATCAGTTCACCTCATCTTCAGAACCGGGAAAGCTAGGAAGTTGAAGTTGTTCTGATCATTGTGCGGGGTGGCGATGGGCCGATAGTTCATCGATTCGCACAAATGATTAAACCCCGCCTTCAGCTGAATGGTGGCATAATGTGAAATCCCCTTCTTTCTTCCCATTCCCCCTGTGTGAGAGACGGTACTTCGAAGTTTGATGCAAAAACGCATAATTGCACTGGCTCGCCTGGTGCGTTCCAGCCCGGGTTGACTTCCACTGCCATTCACTTTAACGAAAAGCTCAATGTTTTTATTTCAAATTGTCTATGGCCAGTAACAAAACTATTTGCTGGGATAAGAAAGAGACAGCGCATATCCTCAGCCCCTTGTTACTGGATAAATTACGAAAGGATTTTCATCGAGATAAAAGAGCGGTAAGAAAAAGACTGTCTACTGTACCATAAATGACAGCTAATCAGTGTCCACTGCAGATCCAGCCGCTTGGTTCGTTGAGTGTATCCGGTGGAACACCGATTATACCAGCAACGACGACAACGGGTCTTCTACAAAGTGCTCAGGGAAGTACTGCTGCTGCCGCCAATCTTAACTTAATGAATAATTCGATGGCCCTGGCCCAACCTTCCGCTGCAACTCCCTATCCGGCGCATTCCATAAATCCCGGTTTGTTGAGTTTTGAATGTTTAATGATGCTTGGATTCCTCTGCATTTGTTTTCAATTACTTGGAGGAAGGGTACCTTGCGTTGCAGGACAGTCTAAAAAGGCTTAGAAATTGTTGGAAAAATTAACTGGACTATGACAGCAAATATCGACCAAGCCTTGTTGGTAGGTTTTATAAGCATGTTCAGTCTGGACTTTCAGATTCGAAGATTTTCGCAGCTACAAAGTACTGCAGGATGAAAAAAGCATCTTTAGAAAACTAAAACTCAAAGCTTTTTGACGAGCTTATTTTTCAGTACAATTATGATAAAGTTAATTTGCGGGTGCAAAATGTAATCACTGGTAAAGGCATAAGAGCAAAGCTAGTGAATTTTGAATATCAGTGTGCGGCAGCTGCAATTAAAAAAGCATTAAAACGGAGGATTTCCAAAGAAGTAGTACGTTTTCACAATAATTACTGATATGAACAGAATGCAAGCTGTTCGGGAAACAAACATTTGCGTCAGCACATGATTGTATCGACTTTCACACAAGATTATCTTTCGATTTTAGTTTTCTTGCTTATTTGCTGTCGTATTTTATTAACAAATATTGCAGGTAGTGCATTGTTGGCCAGGGGTCTTCCAAGCCTTGATCCGACAATGCAGATTGGTGAACAACAGATGATTCAAAGTGGAAGTGGCACAAGTGGTGGACTTTTGACGGCGATTGGTAATCAACCTGCCGGGATAGTAACCGAACCAGTAAACAGTGGGTTCAGTCCGTATACTGCCGCCAACAGCGCTCTTTTGAGTAGCTCAGGAAATGGAAAGTTCGGATATCCGGCTGCTGGAATGCTCTATGATGGCCTGCTAAAGAGCTATCAGGCAGCACCCAGCGCGCTGCAAGAAGTTTGTTTCAGTTTTTCTGCGCCAGTAATCGTAAATGTCCAACTGCTAAAGGGGCGCGCAACTGAAAGTTTAAGATGTGCATTAAGTATTTGCTGGCAATTTTTTGACAACTTTGTTCGTTTAAATCTTTATATGCTTTAGCATGAATCAACTAAAAGCTCATTGTGGTAATTTTATAGCTTAGGTATAACTGCAACCAATGTGTAAGAATGTCCGCTAGCATGAAATTCCACACCACTTCGTTTACAGATTTAATACATACATA